TGACAACTGGATTGGAACCCACTGGAGAGGTTTAGACTACAGTGGAACAATATGATCCCATTTATTTATTTGTTTATTTATTTATTTATTTATTTATTAATAAAGGCATCTCACTGTGTTGCCCAGGCTGGTGTGCAGTGGCATGATCTTGGCTCACCGCAAACCTCTGCCTTCTGGGTTCAAGCGATTCTCCTGCCTCAGCCTCCAGAGTAGCTGGGATTACAGGTACACGCCACCACACCCAGCTAATTTTTTGTATTTTTAGTAGAGACGGGGTTTCACCATATTGGGCAGGCTGGTCTCAAACTCCTGATCTCAGGTGATCCACCCACCTCGGCCTCCCAAAGTGCTGGGATTACATTTATGTTTTAAGAGGACCACTGAGGACTCTTTAGAGAATGATGGGGGCATGTAGCAAGAGTTGACTCAAGGAGACCAGTTGGATGGTCCATCGTTAAAGAGTAGGCAAAATGTGACCTTCACTTGGACCAGGGTGGACGTTAGGGTTAAGAGAAGTAGGTGGATTCAAGAGAAAACGAAACCAAGAAGACCAGGTGATGTGTTGTATAGGAGCGAAGGAGAGAAGTCGTCAAACATGGACAGGTTTCTGATGAGTGCAGTGGAAGAAATGGGGTTTCCGTTTCCTGAAAAAAAAAAAAAACCCACACATTAGGGCAGGGTGTTTTCTGGGGAACACGTTGAGTATGAGGGTTCCTGGGCTTTCTGACAGTTGCCTGTTTTCTTCTGGTTCCTGTGAAGCTTTAGCTGTTAATCTTCCTTCATGTTTCATAATTCCTTTGTGTTTTTGAAAGGCTGCCCTTCTATTGCTGCTCTCTTCACTGCTTCCGTATTTACAGGGATCTTTTTTCTTTATTTTCTCTTGGCCTTCCACAGAATGATTTTGGTAACTTGAGACTACCTTGGGGAATGCAGCCATTATATTTTCAGTCCCTCTGTGTGGCAACACTGCCACTGATATTTTCCCAGGTCCTTGGTTTGGTAGTGCTGGGTTTTTTTTTTTTCCTTCTCAACTTTGAATATACAACAGTAACACTGTTTTTTGCATCCATGGAAGAAGCAGTGGCATCACTGGAAGTTTCCTCAGGGGAACACTTTTCTGTATGGAAAGAAAAGGGTGGGAAATTGCTTTATGATTCAAAAGCTGGCATAAACATTTGTTATTATTATTATTTTTTAATTGTGGTTTATTCCTGTATAACTTATCCAACCATGGAGCCACATTCAGTCAGGGGCATTGTGACCTCTGTGGGGAAACAGAACAACCTGAACACCTGATGCAAACTTTCTGGCCTGAAGGCAACTCCAGTGACTGACTTCCAACAGGTCTGTAAGGACAGCTTGTTTTGAAGTTGTGTCTGCTCCTAGCACAGGTCCTGCAAGGTCCGTTTTTCAAGGAATGAATTATTTCCATGTTTCTGAATGGAATGGATAGCTAAACTTTCATTTGGTTGGTAGTGAGGTATAGGCGTGGAGAGATGACAGTTGGTGAGAGAGTGAAGCATGAGAGTTTAACAAAGGCCTGGGCGATCTCAGATTGCTGACCTTCAGGTGTATTCTATTGGGCACTATGGAGGATATGAGAATGGCCTCAGATCTGTGACAGCAGGTGGCATTGTTGACCAACAGCCCCAGCTGCTGTGCTCTGAAATCCATCACTGATTGGCCCGAGACCTTGCTTTTCTTGACTGAGCAAGGTGGGATACCCAGACAGGCCTGTTTCTGGGAGAGGTGAGATGCCTCTGACTGTGGCTTGAGGCCTCCCAACTGGCCTTGCAGAACTTCCTGGAGAAATGCACTGTAGTTGAAGAAGCATCTAATTCACCTTGCTTCCTTCCCTCTCTCCTTCAAGGAGGTCAGACCTACATGATGGTCTAACATCTCTGGTAGCCTGCTCCTCATGTTCTCTCTGTTGTAGACTGAATGTCTTTCCCCCCAGATTCATATGTTGAAACTCTAATCTCAATGTGACAGCCTTTGGGAGGTGATTAGCTCATGAGGGTGGAGCCTCATGAATGGTATTAGTGCCCTTTAAAAATACTCAGAGAGTTCTTTTGTCCTATCTTGCCATATGAAGATGTAACAAGAAGTCAGCTGCCTGCAACCCAGAAGAGAGCCCTCCCCAGAACCTAACCCTGCTGCTGGCATCCTGATGTCCAACTTGCAGCCTCTGGCACTGTGAGAAATCATGTTCAGCTATTTATAAGTACCTAGTCTATGATATTTTGTTATAGCAGCCTGAATAAGAGACTTATAGGCACTTCTCTTAATAAATTACTTGTGCATTGAATCCTGCCCTGGTTTCTGCTTTTCAGAAGATCCTGACTTGATTAAAGATTCAGAAGATCCCTTGATTTTAAAAAGTGGCTGGGCACAGTGGCTGACACCTGTAAAATTCCAGCACTTTGGGAGGCCGAGGTGGGCGGATCACTTGAGGTCAGGAGTTTGAGACCAGCCTGGCCAACATGGTGACATCACGTCTCTACTAAAAATACAAAAATTAGCTGGGTGTGGTGGTGCGCGCCTGTAATCCCAGCCACTTGGGAGGCTGAGGCAGAATTGCTTGAACCCAGGAGGTGGAGGTTGCAGTGAGCTGAGATTGTGCCACTGTGCTGTAGCTTGGGTGACAAAGGAATATCCTGCCTCAAATAAGTTTTAGAAGGTACACATGCAGTCCCACTGTCTTACCCCTTCTATCTTGTGTTCAGCCTGGTTCACATGTTTACGTTACATGTCTGACTTCTGTAGTGTTTGATTTTATTTCCTAGGTCTTGTATTATCTTTCATAGAATAGTAGAGATAGAGAAATAGGGAAGGATTGACAAATTAGGAAAATATGACTCGGTGTATTGGTCAGGGTTCTCTAGAGGAATAGAACTAATAGAAGATATATATGTATATGTATATGTATGTGTGTGTGTGTGTGTGTGTGTGTGTGTGTATAGTCTGAGTCCCAAAACTGAAGAACTTGGAGTCTGATGTTCGAGGGCAGGAAGCATCCAGCATGGGAGAAAGATGTAGGCTGGGAGGCTAGGCCAGTCTTTCCTTTCACATTTTTCTGCCTCCTTTATGTTTGCTGGCAGCTGATTAGATTATGTCCTCCAGGTTAAGTGTGGGTCTGCCTTCCCCAGCCCACTGACTCAAATGTTAATCTCTTTTGGCAACACCCTCACAGACACATCCAGGATCAATTCTTTGTATCCTTCAATCCAATCAAGTTGACGCTCATTATTAACCATCACAAGTTAGATGAAGTTGAACTTTTTGATCTTTTGAAATTTATCAAATTTGGGTATCGTTCTCATTCAACATGTGAATGACCCATCTAACTTTTAAATTTTAGCAATGCATTTAATTTTTTTTCTATTTTAATTTAACTTGTGAGTCTACGGAGTTTTCTCAAAATTAGAAAGTTATAGAATTAATGATGCATTTTGCCATTTATTAATATGCATAATTGTTGAATAGCCAAGTTCTCTTCAGTATTTGTAAAGCCCTGGGTTTTATGTCCACTAATCCTGACTCTTCCCTTGGGAAGAGGTGGATTAACAATTCCCTTTTGGTACATGGTGCACATGTAGTAGAAATTGTGATGTGACTTCAATAAATAACCTTCTGAAGTTTCCAAACAACAAAAATAGCTTCCCAACAACAAAAGTAGTTTCCCAGCTACTCTTATTAGCATTTCCAGTAATGATTTTTATAAAAGAATTTTCTCTATTATTTCTTTCCTTCAAAGCAACTCGTCAGCTCAATTATTCTCCTTGATTTGGGATTTAATAGAATCTAAGCTTTGTTGTTGCTGTTGTTAGCCAAAAAGAGATGACCACGCTTCTTTCAGCTTGGGAGAACAGAACCATTAGACAGAGTGGATTTTCTCCACCTTAGAAAGTTTTCCCTCCACAAAGAACATGAATACATCCAGGACCAACTACATAATTTTTAGGGCTCAGTGCAAAAAGAAAATATGGATCTGCTTGTTGAAAAAGCAGAGAAAAAATGCTGCTAAAGGTACTAAAATACAAAGTTTTTCTTTTGGTTTTACGAATCTCTTCTGCTCACGTGCATGCTCCACTGTCCCAGGTTCAAAGGTAAAATTGGCAAGAATTTCCAGATGGCCACAGCAGAGCATGAAACCAAGCTTGGGACTCTTCTGAGTGTGGGACCCTGGGTGTGACTACAGCAGTTCCCATGGAGCTGGCCCTGGATACGACTCACCAGCAAGCCACAAGCAAACTAGAAGCAAGAGGGAACATTACCCCTCTTCCCTCTGGAGTTTCAGGTGGAGGTGTGGGCAGGGATCGTGGTAGTTGCCTGAGTCTGGGCTCCCAGGTGACATGGAAGGCACGGTGCTTTTTATCTGATGTGGGAGAACAGGAGCAGTTTTTCTCTCTCTTCTTTGTTCTTGACTCACCTGGGCAGTGGCTTGGCCACACTGTCTATCTTTGTGGAGAGAAGGGGAATGACTTGTTCATGATGGGCAGTGGTATTTTGACTTTCCATTGTAAATACTTTATGTATATGTCTCATTTTATTTATTGAGTGCTGGCTCTACGTTGGCTTCTGTTCTAGGTGTTGCTGGGATCTTCCTGTCCTCATGGAGTTTACATTCTCATGGTGGGGAGGCATGCAATAATCAAAAGGGAGGAGTGGACACAATATAAGGAATGTCAAGCCTGGGAGTGCTATGGAGGAAAGCAGGGTGGAGAAGGGATGCGGGTGTCAGGGCTGCTGGTTCATAATTGTCAGAAGGGAGGTGAGGGAAGGTCTCACCAAAAGGTGACACTTGATGACGAACTGAAGAAGATAAAGAAGGGAACCATGCTGACCTCTGGGAAAGAGTGTCTGGGACAGTGACAGTCAATGCAAAGATTCTGTGGTGGGAACAGATAACTTTGTTCTTCATTGACCTTGCATGAGGTTTTGGTGTGATTTTAGCATGCGAAGATCTACATGAAAACATTCTTTCCCTCTTTTTTCAGTAGAAAAGCAGTACTTCTGGTACTGGCTGGGTGCAGTGGCTCACACCTATAATCTCAGCACTTTGGGAGGCTAAGACAGGAGAATCGCTTGAGTCCAGGAGTTTGAGACCAGCCTGGGCAACCTAGGGAGACCCCCTCTCTACCAAAAAAAAAAAAAAAAAAAAAAAAGAAAAAGAAAAATAGTATGCCCCTGTCCTTGCAGTTAAAGATGAACAAGGAAGAGTTCCTAAGCCTTGATTGAATGTGGCTTCATCTCCTCCAGCAGCCACACAGCTGGGCTCTGACATCGAAGAACTACAGACAGAGCTCTCTTATTAAAGGACATTTCTTATTAATGGCTGACTTCAAAGCAAACTTTAAAAAAGTCCAATCGATTTCTCATTTATTACATTTTGTTTTGTAAAAGATTTTATGTCAGTGATTGCAGAATGAAGATGCCAATAGTAAAATAATTGGTTTATAAATGGAAAGTTAATCAGGCGTTCCCCTTTACATCGTCCTCTCCAAGGTCAGGGCATGACTGAAATGCAAAGAAAGTGCGTTTGTACAGCAGGCAGATGATAGGCTCACGTGGAGGGCTGTTAACCTTGGGGCTTGGCTCCTCAAGTGTTGAAGCAAATGGCTTGATGAGCTTCAAAGGCATGGGACATTATTGTACCTGGGAATATAAGAATGGTGTCTGCAGTTACATTAATTGGGATAACAATTATGAAAGCTTGAGAAGCCTCAAATTTCAGAGCCCACTCTAATCCCCAGGAAGACTTTTCCCTGGGTGGATATAATATTGCTGTTTTCCAGGTGCATTCCTAAGATGTATTACATTTCTCAGACTTACTTTGTATAGGCCACTGCCAGGGGCAGGTTTGGGGGTGGCCAGAAGATTCTTTGGTTTCAGCCAGGCATCTCTCTGCCTCCCTGGAGTGTTCGTGTACTTGGGGAAAGCCAGGGTCAAAGTAGACTTGACGTTTGTCTGGAAGCATGAGCTCCATGTCCCGGTTTCAGTGAAACAAAAGGCAGGAATGCAAAGATCTGTTTCCTGGAACTGTTCATATTTACACAGTGATAACGTATTTCTTCATGTTGTTGACCCAGATGTAGTCATATCTTGCCTGGTGACTGAGTCTGCTTTGTTGATTGTCCGCTTTGGAATTTACTGGGCTTCTGTTGAACATGGACTATGTTTTCCTGGAAAATAGAATATTAAAATAGTTGACAATTATCCCATAAGTGGAGCTGCGTTCCAAGAACAGCAATGTAGGTAATCCTACCTGATTCACCTCTAGCTCTCTACTTTGAATTTCTGTTGGTGGCAACAAAGCTTTCATGAAAAACAACATCCTTCACCTTTGAAAGAGAAAACTTCCATTAAAAAGAAAGGCAGGCAGGTTTTTAAAAAGTTATCATTTAAGGCTCTTGTCTGATCCTTACTTTAGGGGGAAATCCTTGCAATGTAACAAAAATATCAATGGGTTTACAGGAGCGATTCCAAACTCCTTGCAGAAAAACTCTTAGATAGCATTTGGAAGTGTCCTTGCGGCAGAAGTATATTGAATAACCACGGTCATCTCGATCAGTGATGTTTCTGTATTCACATGGGCCTTGACTTTTGAAGCCTTTAGAGAAGGAAGAGTTGGCATATGTTAGACACCAAAGTTTTTGCCAGCTGAACGTGTCATTCTTTCCTTTTTGTCTTTACAGGAAATGTTAAGTTATTAAATTCATTGATGTTTCCTGAAATGATATTGCTATTTCCCATCCAAGGGGCCATAGGGGTGGGCCTCTAGAACATTGTCCCTAAAGGTGTTCATGTGATGATTCCAGCACTTACATCCTCCAGATCTTTCTTTTCTTTCGGGCAGTGGCACAGAGGCGTTAGGTCTGACACGAAACGCAGAAGCATGCATAGCCCTTGCCCTGATCCTTCCAGCTAGGAAGCCGTTTCCTTCCCTCCAGACACCACTGCCAGTTTTGGACAATTTCCTGCTGATGTTGGTATCATAGGGGACAGGGAGGAAATGGGACAGGAATGTGCTGGAGCTTCTAGCCCCTGCATTTCTACTTGATTGGCCAAAAGTAATGGGCAGACACGGCATTTCGGCTGATTTTGGCACAGAAAATGAAGGGAAGCTGGGCAGGACACACAGCACAGACCCATGCACTTCATCCATAAAGAAAAAAGTATTTCTTTAAGTTAAATTAACTTCAGAAGCATGAGCCAGGATGACTTAGTTAGAGCTATGAGGTTCCCAGTTGTTGGCTCTAGTGCTACAAACCGTCCCTTACCTCTGTCCTTTCACTTTAGCTCCTTCTTCCCTGTTTCAATGTCCGTGGGTCTGGAAATGAGTTCATATCTCATCTGAGAATTTCTACTACTGCCAGAGGCTCACAGGTTTGTTGGAAGCTCACAGATGAAAGCACCTGAAAGCTTTTATTTCTCCGCTAAAATGTCTTCCCCGAGGACACACATATAGTGTCATTGTGACCTTTAATCTTACTTCCTAATCCTTTTTTTTTTGGACAGGGTCTCATTCTTTTGCCCAGGCTGGAGTGCAGTGGCATAATGTTGGCTCACTGCAACCTCTACCTCCTGAGTTCAAGTGATTCTCCTGCCTCAGCTTTCTGAGTAGCTGGGATTACAGGCACGTGCCACGTCACCTGGCTAGTTTTTGTGTTTTTTGGTAGAGACGGAGGTTTCACCATGTTGGCCAGGCTGGTCTCAGGCTCCTGACCTCAAGTGATGCATCTGCCTTGGCCTCCCGAAGTGCTGGGATTACAAGTGTGAGCCACCACATCCAGCCGATCATTTTCTTATCACAGAGAATAGTTTTAATCACTGGAAAACTGCCAGCTTCTCCAGGAAGCCAGATCTTTTGGAAATCATGCAAAAACACCAATAGCAATTACAAAACTAGCAACACAAAACGGATTAAAAAGTCTTAATGTAGATCTATTTCTATTGGCTTTTTTGACAGTAGCTGAGAGGGCCCTTACTTCTCAGGCAGCAGCTACCTGGCCACAGGTCGGTCACACTTGTGTTTGAACGGTGGGCATCACTCAATCTGAGACAGTTCATGAGGAGTCAGAATGGTCTTTAAGGTTCTTCTTTGTCTCTTCTTCTGCCTTTTGACTGACTCCACTCTTCATCTTCCAAAAGAATAATCCAAGGGATCACATCCTTAGGGCACACTACTGTGCACCCCACTGGTCAGCACAGAGGTAGGGTGGAAGGATCTGCGGTGACTACTGGCTCATTGAGGAGCTCTAGTTCGCTCTGATTCTTCATCCTCACTTGGCAGCGCATAGCAGAAGGTCTTTTGCAGACAGGCAGTGTCTCCAGGGGCCTCCCAGGATGGCTTACCTTAGAGAATTTGCCAGGCTTGGGTTTGGCCCCAGGCTGGCAGGCTCAGAGAGGATTGGGTCAACACATTAAGAGATGTTTTTTTTTTTTTTTTCTCTCTCTCTCTCTCTCTAGCACAGACACACGCTTCTCTCATGAGACTCAAGTGTAAAACCAGATCTCCAATTCATTGATTTTTCACAAGAAATATAACTGTAGAGAGCCTGGATTCTCAAGAATGCCAGGCAGGTCTAACTACCTGGGGAATGAAATCACAATCAGAAAGAAGGGTGATCAGCTTGGATTCAGAACTGGGGGTGTCAGTGGTGAAGGCTCAATCAGAATAATGGATGCTTTCTGCAGTGGGTTGAATGGTGAGCCACTCAAAAGGTGTGTCCACCCGAACCCTATAAATGTGACCCTATTTGGAAAAAGAGTCTTTGCAGATGTAATTATGTTAAGGATTTTAAAATGAAATCATCCTGGATTAGGTGAACCCTAAATCCAATGACAATTTATAAATTCTATGCCCTTAGAAGAGAAGAAGGCCATGTAAAGACAGAGGCAGAGGTTAGAGTTAGGAAGCTACAGGCCAAGGAGTGTCAAGGATTCCTGACAGCCCCCAGGAGCTAGAAAGAGGCATGGAATGCCTTGTCCTTCAGAGCCTATAGAAGGAGCTAACCCTGATGATATTGGATTTTAGATTTCTGGCCTCCAAAACCGTGAAACCATACAATTCTGTTGTTTTTAACCACTCAGTGTGTGCTAATTTGTTACGGCAGCTCTAGGAAATTAATACACTCTTTCATTTAGATAGAGCTGCCCCTGGGCCAGGCAGCTGGAGTCCTTGGGCCAGCCCCTTCCCTGCACCATGCTTCTATGGGGCCTGCCAACATTTGTGCACAGGCTGGGCAGCTTCCATGGCTGGCCACTCTAGTTTACAAGGAGCACATTTTATCTTTAGACATGGTAATCCATCCCCATGGGAGGATTGCTGGACTGGGATCTATTCTTTCTCTTAAACCTGCCATTTATACGTATTGTCTGATGGTTTTACAGCTTAACTCTCTGAGTGGCCACCTTATTCCCCAAATGTTCTTGGGGACAGTGATGTGATAAAGGTGGAAGATATACTTCTGCAGAAGTGTATTTCACAAGGACTCAAAATACGTGTTTGCATGTTTTACGTCTATGCACATTTTCCCATGAAATCTTGCCAGCCCGGATTGATTCCAGGACTTGTCTATTCTCCTGGGGCTTTAGTAGTGAAATCGATGTGTGGTACAGAGTCCACCTCATCAGTAGTTACTGGGTACTGAATAAAAGAAAAAGCAGAGGTAAGATTCTCTAAGGTTGGGTGTAACTTTCTCTCCAGGGCCAAGCCCATCCCTCCGGTATTCTTCCAAGAAGATACTGATTTAAATTTCTTTCCTAATTAAACATTTTCCTGAGAAACATGTTTCATGGAAGATGGGATGCTTGTGCAGATAGGAGTTGCTCTTCTGGTGATGAGGTGGGATGAGGGTGGTGTGGGTTTGGGGAATGCATGCGCACAGGTGTGGGGCTATCACATTGGCTGCAGGAGTGAGGAAGGAGCCAGCAGGAATGACCAGAAAGGCCTGGAATACGCATGAACAGTTCTGACTGTCTTTGGTAAGTGACATGGAACCATTGGAAAGGATTAGGCTGGGTAATATCATTATCAGATTTGACTGTTTTTTAAATTAATCCATTTATTTATTTATTCATTCATTCATTCACTCATTTTAGAGATAGGGTCTCACTCTGTTGCCCAGGCTGGAGTGCAGTGGTGCAGTCGTAGCTCATTATA